TCATCTTGTGGATTTCGAGCCAGTTGGAGTACGCATCCATGGTTAGGAGAAAAGTGTGTCCTTTAGTGGGACCCGCGAAATCAATGTGGATGCGGGACCACGGGCCTCGAGGAGTTTCCCATTCGGTGGGAATTGCTCTCGGTGGGGTGTTGCTGACTTCTTGGCAGTTTCTACACGTGGTTACCCAGGCTTCAATTTGTTTATCGATGCCTGGCCACCACGCGTAGCTTCGAGCGAGAGCCTTCATGCGGACGATGCCCGGATGTCCTTCGTGCAGGGTTTGTAACACGAGTCGCTGTAGTCTCTCTGGTACAACGACTCTATCTCCCCATAGGATGCAGCCCTTCTGGGAAAATAGTTCCGTTTGCCGGTGTTTGAACGGTGCAAAAGTGGCGGGGGTTTCTTCGACTGGCCACCCGTGTTCGACCCAACTGAGAACTTTTGCGAGGATAGCGTCCCGTTTTGTGTCGGTGGCGATATCCCTTGCCGTTAGTGGTGGCGAGTTGAGGGTTTCAATTTGCAGCGTATTGAGGGTCGGAGCTGGGTCGCTGATGGTTTCCGGAAGTGGGGAACGGCTCAAAGCGTCAGCATGGGGAATGGCTTTCCCCGGGCGATGCTGCAGTACGTAGTTGTAGGCTGCTAGGAACTCTGACCAGCGAGTCATTCTAGGCGACAATATATGAGGGGTTGGTTTATCACCTGCTAAAATGCCAAGTAAAGGCTTGTGGTCTGTAACTAGAGTAAAGGGCCGCTCATAAACATATTCGTGAAATCGCTTCATGGCTGATACAATAGCAAGAGCCTCTTTGTCAAGTTGGCTATAGTTTCATTCAGCCTTTGATAACGTGCGGGAAAAGTACGCAATAGGAGCCTCATTCCCGTTTGGTAACACGTGGCTCAAAATGGCTCCAACCCCAAACGGTGACGCGTCGGACGTAATATTTAATGGCAAAGTCTCGTTGTACTGCATTAGCACAGTGTCGGAGGTTAATAAGTCTTTCACCTTTCTGAAAGAGCGTTCTTCTTTGTGACCCCAAACCCAAATAGCTTTCTTGTCGAGAAGTCGATGTAAGGGTTCGGCTACTGTTGCCTTGTGAGGCAAGAAGATGTTGTAAAAATTGATGAGTCCCAAGAAGGCCTGGAGATCAGCCTTACTTTTAGGTCTTGGGGCGTTTTTAATTGCTTTGAGTTTGGTCTCGGTGGGGTGAATCCCTTGTTTATCGAGGAGATACCCAAGAAACTCCACCCTTTCAGTGCATAGTTGACATTTATTTTTTTTTACTTTGAGACCGGCGTCCTTAAATCTATGCAAAACCAATCTGAGACGCCTTTCAAGCTCTTCTCTATTTGGGGCAGCAATTAACACATCATCGAAGTATGGTACAACCCCTTTTATTCCCTGTAAAAGTCTCTCCATTAGACTCTGAAATATCCCGGGGGCTACACTCACTCCGAACTGGAGTCTGTTGCATTTAAAGGCACCTCGGTGTGTAACAATAGTCTGTGCCTCTGCGGTTTCCGCATCAACGGGTAGTTGTTGATACGCTTGCGCTAAGTCTAACTTTGCGAAGATCTTTCCGCCACCCAGGGAGTGGAGAAGATGTTGAACCACCGGTACCGGATAAGCGCTCTGTTGGAGTGCGTGGTTCAGAGTGGCGCGGTAGTCTCCACAAATTCTGATCAACCCATCCGGTTTGATGGGGGTTACGATTGGGGTTTCCCAACGGGCGTGGTCAATAGGCTCCAACACCCCTTGGGCTATTAACTTATCAAGTTGCTCGTCAATCTTGGGTTTAAGGGTGAACGGAACCCAACGAGGCTTAAGGCGGATAGGGGCTACTTCTGGATTGAGGCTAAATGATATAGGGGTTCCCTTGTACTTGCCTAAGTTGTCCGAAAACACATCGTGGAATTCCTGGACGATGCTTTCTTCCCAATCGTCGCTTCCGGCCTGGTGAATGCCGGCTACCTCGATCCCGAGTGGGGCGAACCATTGTAGGCCTAGTAAGCTGGGCCGGTCACCATCGACGACAGTTAATGGGAGTGACACGGCACGATCTTTAAAAGATACTTTGACTTGACTCACTCCGACGACTGGGATCGTGTTCCACTGGTAATCTCTGAGAATGATTTTCTGTGTTCTGAGGTCTTGCCGACGGATGGCAGGGATCAGCTGTTTAAGGGTCTTCCAGGAAACCATCGAGAGGGACGATCCGGAGTCGACTTCCATCAGGCAAGGTTTGTTCTTGATCGCCACTTCCACTCGGATCTTTTGTTTGTCTAATGACGAAGCGTGGCCGATAATAATAGTCTGGTGTGTCTCTTCTCGTCGTGCTGGAAGAGCAGATGTTTTGCTGCTGTATGCATGGTTGTTCCATTGGTTATTCAAACGATCCCGATTTGCAGGGAGGTTCCCTGTGGTTTGGCGGAGGTTGTTCTCCTTTCTATTTGTGTTGAATTCCCTCTTACTTCTGCAGACCCGTGCGATGTGGCCTCTCTTCCCACAGGAACGGCAGATTGCGTTGAGGAATTTGCAACCGGATCGCGGGTGGTTTCCCCCACAACCCGCACATGGGCGCTGAAGTTTTAGAGTTTATTGATCTCGTTCGGCCCGAAGTCTGTTAACCTCTTCTTCATCACTCTCGGATTGGGACTCGAGGTCCTCATGGTGCGCTGTTGCTGAGTGTCTTTCTAGTTGAGGCGAGGCTTTGTGGGCGAATTGACGGAGCGGCGCGTTGGTGCGGCGCATTCGAGAGGCCGACTTCTTGGTTGCCTCTGCTGCAGTAGCGTCAGCAATGGCATCTGCAAGATCGATGTCCCCTTTTGCCATGATCTTGCTCTGTACTGTGTGGTCATCTAATCCCAGAACTATGCAGTCTCGCATAGCTTCTTCTAGGTCTGAAAAACCACAGAGGCCTCCCAGGTTTCTAAGGTCAGCGATGAAGTCTGCAATACTTTCACCCTTCCGCTGATCCCGTTGATAAAATTCGTGTCTCCGGACGAACGTTGGTACGGCAGGGGCATAGTGAGCCCGTAGGATAGGTTCGACGTTGTCCCAATCCATTGATTTCACCTCAGCTGGTTTCGCGAGCGCCTTCGCCATCCTAAAAACGGCTGGTCCACAATGGGTCAAGAACACCGCCCGCTTCTTTCCGGGTGTTGCGTCTTTCAAATTGTTGATTTCTAGAAACATTTGAAACCGATCCATATACGACTCCCAGTCTTCCTTTTCCGGGTCAAAAGGAGCGGGTGGTATAGCGCCACCTGACATCCTGCCGATGTAGATGCGCTCTCAGCCACGTGCTTTGGTTGGTGTTCTGTAGGGTTTAGTCAGCTCTTTTGTCTCCGTATCCCACCCTCGTCGCCAGTGTTATGTTTGAGGCATGGGTATAATGAACGGAGACCAGACTGTCAACCTTGAACTTCAGCTCTTTATTCACAAGCATAACAGAGACCAAAAAAAACCCGGCTAGCAGTCACTCTTTTATAGAGTAAGCTGCTATCCGGATAACCAATGGATAGTGTTATCCCGTTTGAATCTTGGCGCGGCCCGCCAACAGCCAGTCAGATTGCTCGGAATGAACCAATCATAATTTGCCATTATATGGGCCAATAGGAAGTGCAGGATTACGATCCTGCTATGCAAATGAATCTTTATTAATTACATTTCTTTAGTTCACAACAGTTTCAAAAAAACAAAAATGTTTTTCCCTCCAAAGTCTAGCTTTCAGATTCAATCAATTCTACACCTGTAAATATATGGGTATTATGATATACAGTAAGACTGTGAGATTTTGTCCTCTCTAAGATACAAAGCTAGCTGGGATCTCAGGTCAGTCACTTTCTCTCAGCCCTAGGAAGGAGACAATGGCAAATCACTTCTGAAAAATCTTGCCAAGAAAACTGCAGGAACTTGTCCAAGCAATTTCTCAGAATCAGACACAATTGAATGGAAGTGGAAAAACTGTATATACACTGATCTCTGTGGGGGGGAAAAACCTTAGTTATACTGGCCAGCACTTCTACATTAATCCAATTGGCAGGCTTATTGTTTGCCGGCTTTTTTTTGGGGGGGGGGGGGACTTTGATCTTAATAATTTTGATCTTATGAACTTATTTAATTGTGTCATTTTCAAGGTCATTGCGAGCTTTCTGCAGTGAATAAAAAGGTCCTATAGCACATTTCACCACAGTTCTTCAGCTAGTGCCAAAACTTTTCTTCTTGGCAATATTCCACTTGTCCACAAACTAATCCAAATCAAGTTTACCAATCAACATTGGCATCAGATTCAAAGCCAGTTGCTGTGTATTTCAGCCATCTTAGCTGCCAGTCATTATTTTTCTTTCCAGGTTTCTCCTTCCCAAAATCTTCTCTGAAGATATTTAACTTCATTGCTAATGCCACCTGAATTTCTTGGAGAACTTTGTTATGAGATTCTAAGCTCTGTTAGTTAGTTAGGCAGTGATTACAAACTGTCTTCAATGGATGTCTGCACGGGTACATGGATATAGCAGTGCCAGTGGGATGCAGTGGTTGAGGGAAAAACTCATCACAGCAGCCATTTTCTAAGCTGAAAAATTCTCACAATCTCTGACTGTAGAAATTAAATCATGGGATTGACCCATCAAAAATAAGAGAGTATGGAAATCTATCTTCCCTTTTCTTGGCTTTCTCTTTGTAGCAAGTTAATGTCAATGTATTAATCAGTGTAATTCCACTAATTATGACAGTGTAATATACTGTACATTAGGTTACATCCAAGCCCCTTGAAATATTGAGTATTAAGTTAACTGTGCATATTTAAGTTATTCTATTTTTCCATTTACCAACTCATCTCTCTCTCTCTCTCTCTCTTTCTCTCTCTCTCCTTCTCTCTCCCTGTGTGTGCATGTGTGTAACAAATGATGTTAATGAAAGTTTACCTGCACACTTTTTATAAACTACATTTTTCATTGTTGTGTCTCTTCTATCTCTACCCATGTTTCTTTTTTGACTGCAGTCTTCCAACAAGCCAACAGTACCTCAGGAGAAGATAAGACCACTCACAAGTCTGGACCACCCCCAAAGTCCTTTTTATGACCCTGAAGGAGGTTCCATTAAATCAGTAGCCAGAGTTGTCATTGAGAGGATTGCACGAAAGGTATTAGTATGAAAGTAATTGAAATGGAATATTTGAGCGTAGACTGGGATTAAATAACAAGAAACCTGAAATCTGGCAGTAAAATGACAACTGTAGTCCAACAGGTTTTCATAAAGGGAGTGGGGTTAATTGGCTGTGCGCACTGGGTCAGTGGAGATGTGAGGGACCTCATTCCTTAAAGCAGGGGTGTCCAAGTCTGGCAACTTTATGACTCGTGGACTTCAACTGGCAGAATTCCTCAGTGAATGCTTCCTTAGTATTGGCTGAGGAATTCTGGAAGTTGAAGTCCACAAGACATAAAGTTGCCAAGGTTCACCTTAGAGTGAATTCCTCTCCTTTCCACTCGAACTGCAACGAATGCAAAGAAGCACCATCAAAGATTTAAGGCCCAAAGAAGAACAAGAGGAGAGTTCCAGGGAGCTGCAGAAGTTGTTACCACATTGGAATCCACCAAGATAGCAAAGGTGAACTTCTGAAAAGCAAGACTGATCAAATTAATTTTATTTCATTTGAATTAAATTTAAGGGTAGGTGAAATTAAATTAAATTTAGTTTCCTCTCCTGGTTGTACTTCATCAAAAGCTCTGAGCTTGAAAAAGATTCTGTGGCATAGCACTAAAAAAAAAAAGCCTTGTGAAGCTCATTACTTAGTAAGAAGATTTTGTAGCAAGTTAATAATACAATGATGCTATGTGTCACAGACAGATCTATCTTGCGGCAGAAATCTGCAGCATATTCCTTCATTAGGTATATGGAGAGCTTTAGGGCTCCCTGGACATTGTAGACAATAAGTGGGGCCCCAAGCTCATTTAACATTGCTTTCTAGCAACATTCAGCTTTTAGATGGGACATTATCTGCTCCCCATCTCCCCAGTCCTCCCAGCACTTTTTTTCTCAGAAAAATGATGTTTGCCTCTTAGCATGTTTGATAAGGGAACGTGGCTTCCCCCGCCAATCAGAAACACAATATCTTCATGGGACTTCCTTTAGGATCTGAGTTTTGGCCCTGATGACTACTGCAATCTTTATAAGCCTGAACGCTTGCAGATGCTGTTGGAATAACTTCTGGCAATTGATTTTCCAGCCCAGTGCTCAGTATCCTATTATTTCCTCCGCCAATTCAATCCCATTTGCAAATGTTTCTTTGCAGGGGGAACAGTGCAATATTGTTCCTGATAGCATCGATGACATTGTTGCAGATCTTGCTGCAGAAGCTCCAGAAGACGAAGGTACTTTTTAATTATGTCCTCCTACCTTTAGGAGTTTGTGTTTAACTTCACTCTCCAGTGCTGCTCCTCTGTATTTCATGCTGTTTGACTTATTATTAGGATGGTATTAAAAACAGGAGGGGAAAATAAAACAATTTGCTTAGCCATTTGTGGTTGGAGTCTGCATCATTACTTAATAAACACCTGCAGTGATAGTGTCAGCCGGCAGAAATTTTGGCATTTTCTAATTTAGCAGAAGACTAATCTCATGTACTTTATTATCTTGTACTGGGTCTATCTTCATCAAGCTAAACTATTTTCCTTATCTAACTGCTCCTCTTTCTTACTTATTATTGGGCTTAGCCCAAGAATGACACTGAACAACCCAACCAAAGTTTAGTTCTTTATATGCTTACACACAATAGATTGAATGCAATGGGGGCAAATACCTGCAGCTCGGGTATAGGATGGGGGTGGAAGTTCATTCTCTGAGCCTGTGGGTTGGTTTCCAAATGTTTCGTTACCAGGCTAGGTAACACCTTCAGCAGAGTTTAGGGGCTGTCAGTGTCAGTGTTCTTCTGCTTATAAGGGCTTTGAGTGATCAGTAGGTTTTGTGATGGGGAGGTCACATCAGATGAGGGTTACCCCCTCCCCAACATCAGGTAAGACAACCCCTCCAACCAGCATTTCACCTCCCCAATGAATCCCATCTGACATGACTCCCCATCACAAGACCCTCACCTAATGTAACCCACACTTGACCTATCCCAAGACCCATACATGGCCCTAACTTTAGGTGACCCACACCTGACCCATCACAGGATCCAACATAAAACCCTCACCTGATGTCATCCTGCCATCATAAGACCTATTAACCACACAACATCGGAGAATGAACCTCTACCCTCAATAGATAGAATCTTGACAAATTGAACTTTGACTGCTTTCAACCCAACACATATGCCCTGAGAAATTCAAGGGAGTGGCTATCCTCTCTTCCTCTGTCCCCTATTCAGCTCTGCACTGTGCTGCCTATTGTCTTGCCCCCACCCCCTCTTCTTGGAATGTGCTCCCTTCTTTCTGGGAAACTGCTGCTTCACTATAGTCCATCGCCCCATCTCCCCCTCTGTAGGCACCATCCCTAACATCTTTTTCATTTTCTATTCCAATCTTTCTTTCAAACTTCAGTTTGTTAGAAGTATATTTATGTACCTAGCAGTCAACTGGAGATCGTAGAAAGGGGGACTTGCTCTAGGCAGAGGCAAAGATAGAGATAGATAGTTGGGCTGCTAGGTAGAATACCTCTTCTGCAGGCAGAAAGTCTTCGGTACAGTACCTAGTGTGTCCATTAAATTATACTGAGTAGAGAAGTAATCTTTAAAAAAAAACACGTTTAATTGTTTTGGAGGATTACTCTAATTGGGTTTAAGCACAGTCAATACATTGTAGACAGTATATCTGTACATACCATATACAAATATATGCTCTTTACACCACACATATATGCATTCACACATAAATACTGAATATGTCATTGTTTTCAGATGATACTCCTGAAACCTGCATCTATTCGAATTGGTCTCCCTGGTCAGCCTGTAGCTCTTCAACATGTGAAAAGGGCAAGCGGATGAGGCAGAGAATGCTCAAAGCTCAGCTTGACCTCAGTGTTCCTTGTCCAGAAACTCAGGACTTCCAGCCTTGTATGGGCCCAGGCTGTAGTGATGAAGGTAAGTGAGAAGACCCTGGACATGAGAGTCAACATTTTGTTGATCAAATGTGAGTGAGGTGTGGGAATAAATGGAAACTATCTATTACTGCTTTTTTTAGATGGCTCTACATGCATGATGTCTGAGTGGATAACGTGGTCCCCTTGTAGTGTATCTTGTGGCATGGGAATGCGATCGAGAGAGCGTTATGTGAAGCAGTTCCCGGAGGATGGCTCCATATGCAAAGTGCCTACAGAAGAGACGGAGAAATGCATTGTAAATGAAGAATGTTGTAAGTATTTGATGTACCCTGCCACACTTAATCAGCCTAAAAAGCAAAATGTGAATCCTCTGTTAAATAAGTGCCACCAGACTGATCTTTGGCTAATGTATTATGGACAGCTCCTAGCAGTTGCCTGGTAACTGAATGGGGAGAGTGGGATGAATGCAGTGCCAGCTGTGGGATGGGAATGAAGAAGAGACACAGAATGATCAAGATGACCCCGGCAGATGGATCCATGTGCAAAGCAGAAACCACAGAAGCTGAGAAATGCATGAATCCGGAATGCCGTAAGTAACTCTGGTCAACCGAGCATCTGTGTAAAAAGTGGGTATGTTAACTGCCTTGTGTACACATTGTGTATTTAGGTAAAAAAAGAACAATGCTATGTGCAAAGGACACATGCAACAAGTAACACGGTTCATCATTTGTATACTTTCTAATAGGTTTCTTCACAATGCAGATTTCTAAAAGTTTTCAAAGTGTACAATTATACTGACCATAAGACACAAAGGAGCAATTACTCTAAATATTTGAAGTCAGGACATTCTAGCAAATCATAAGCTCTGTAGTTTTTAAGACAACAAGAAGTGAGATGTGCTTTCCTGGTGTTTTTTTTTTTTTTCAGTTTTATTTAAATATGCTGCTTTTTGTACAAATTGTACACGCATTCTCTATACCATACATATATGCTCTCACATATACATACTCACAAAATGATTGCAACCTGATTTGCTTTTCTTAGCAGAGTAAATCATAACGTAACATTTTTTTTACATTATTCTTGTAAATATAATAGGCTATTGAGGGGGGGAAATATAATGTCAGAGGTAAATGCCAATTCTCTCACCATCATTTTCTCTTCTTAAAAACAATCATCAGGGCCATGAACTCCATCAAGATCATCAAGCTGAAGAAGGGAGATTAATTTATATATTCCAAGAAGTCCTTCAGTACAAACCTTTTCTCCAAAAGTGTGTATTTAGTCACAAAAAGGAAGGAAATGTTACCTGAAGGGAAGATGAGAAAATTTTAGCAATAGCAATAGCATTTGGGTTTATATGCCACCCCATAGCACTTTGCAGCACTCTGTGGGTGGTTTACAACATCAGTATATTGTCCCCAACAATCTGGGTCCTCATTTTACCTATCTCGGAAGGATGGAAAGCTGAGTCAATCTTGAGCCCTGTCAGGATTAAACTCTAGGCTTTGGGCAGAGTTTGTCTGCAATGTTGCACCTCCAGAGTTCAATCCTGATGGGGCTCAAGATTGACTAATTAATTGCCTGCAATCTGGAGTCAAAGCTTATATTCACTGTAAATTTGGTGGTGGAGGAAGATGCCGTTGTGAAAGCAGGAGTCTGTGCATAAAGTGAAATTATGAAAGCAAACAGTTGGATTAGAGTACAATCCTTTGCCAGGTCCCAAAGGTGCTTTTTTCAAGAGGCAACTGGACTTTCTGGTTTCTCTCTTAAGACATTTTGCTTCTCTACCAAGAAGCTTCTTCAGCTCTGACTGGTTGGTGGGGAATGGAAGGATTTATACTCCTTGCAGACAGCTGGTCATGTGCATTCTTTTAATGAGTCATTATATCTAGGCCTCTATGTCAACATTGAACAGCCCTCTCTCAACAGTGGGGGAGAGATACAACATCCTATATCTCCAGTCTACAACATAGTCCTTTCAACAGTTCCAAAAAGGCTCTACATCCATTTGCACCACTCAGGTGACCCTCATGACACAGATAAACCTCCAGGTGGCCTTCACAACTCATTCAAAGAATGCAAATGACCAGCTGTGTGCAAGGAGTATAAATCTGTCCATTCCTCACCATCCAGTCAGAGCTGAAGAAGCTTCTTGGAGGAGAAGCGAAACACCTTCAAAGAAAAACCAGAAAGTCCAGTTACATCCTGAAAAAGTACCTTTGGGACAACCATGTCCCGGATGACTGAGAATTTTCAAAGACATCAAGCCACTGCCATCACTTCAAGGACAAAGGCTGAGATTCCCTGCCTGCCTCTCATTATCCACTAGAGAGTTTCTTTTATCCATGAAGGCTTTCCATATGGATGAGGTTTCAGGAAAATGGTGCAGCAGTTAGATAGAGAGGGTTCCTACTATAGCCAATTACAATTGAAGGAGAAAAATGCTCCTTCATAATTTGCAGATGGAAGGAGGATTGGGCTGAACATTCTAATTAAGCTGAAGAAGAAGACACACATTCAGTGCAGTGAGACTTGCTACAGAACGAACACCTGCGGGTTTTCTTAGGCTTGCAGCCCAGCACAAAGGCTTCGCATTCAACATTTCCTTATTGAAAACTAAATCTCAATCCTTCAAGGATCTGTTTCCTATCTTTCATCATCATTTACAAGGAATAACCGGGACTGAAAAGTTCTGTGCCCAGCTTATCAGTAGTCTGCATATTTAATTGGAAACAAGAGCCATTGAATTCAATAGGACTTATTACAGAAGAAGCATAGATTTGTTGTGCTCGGTTTTCTGCAGTTTTTTTTTCCTCTGGTTGAATGGGTAATATGTGCAAGAAAGTAATTTGTAAGAGACAGAATGGTCTCTGCGTATATCCTGGTAGGACATCAATTAATTTTAGACACAGAGTCTCTTATTCTACAGGCAATTAATTTTGTTCAGTAGACATTAATTACACACACACACACACCCTTTGGAGTATGCCTTTTAATATATATGCTTATTCATATGCATTTATAAGTATACATATTTGATGAAGGGGGGGGGGAATAATCTCCAGGACTGATTTCAGTGGGAGGTGACATTTCTATTAACAAGATGAGAAAGATTATTACAAGTGTGCAAATATTTTTATGTCTAATCTTTCTTGGATGACAAATATTATCACCACACCCCAAACAGCAATTAACAATACCTATAGGGGCCATTTAAACCAGGGAAAAGGCTTTATTAATGTCAACCCTTTACCACTGATCCAACCCAAGAGAATACATCAGGAAATCTAATCAGAGATATCCAGCATTGTATGAGATAGAGTGATTTGCAACAAGAATATCTTAGATCGGCCTCTTTTAGGAATAAATTATGAATGCTGGAAATGAGGAATGGTAGTCTCACTTTGTTATTAAAGAAGATGTGCCAGCAATCTGCAGCAAAATACAGACTGGACTTATTAGATGCTGGAAGACCAGTACACATTTCAATCCAGTTTTATTTTAGTCATTATCAAATAGCTATCCTTTTCATTGATGCAGAATGGGAGAACTTGCTGTGGCCAATTTGCAGTGGCCAACTCGCTGCTGCCTACTTGCCATGGTCATTTTGCCATGGCCAACTCACCACAGCCAGCTTGCCACAGGATAACTCACCACAACCAACTCACCATGGGACAATTTGCTGCAGAACAATTCAACAATTCAATGTAATTATTTAAAATAATTCAAAAATTATTTTAATTTTTGCCATTCACATTTCACATTATGCCTCCTATTGTATCCTTTCTTTAATGATTTTATTCCGCCATTTCTTCAATATTAGTGTAGCTCATGTCCCACAAAGAGTTGTCCCATTGGTGAGTTGGCCATGGTGAGTTGTCTAGCAGTGAGTTGGCCACAGCAAGTTGTCCATATCTAGTTGTCCATAGCAAGTTGTCTTAGACCCCCACCCCTTGATGAGTGGGTAGATGGATCACTTGATTGCCAGATTGATCATCACTTGTAGATGTGCTGTTGAAATGGAATGATCTTATTCTCTTTCCCATCCCAATCTGCCTTAGACACCATTCCCTGTCTGCTTTCTCCTTGGTCTGAATGGAGCGACTGTAGTGTCACTTGTGGAAAGGGGATGAGGACCAGGCAACGGATGCTCAAATCTGCTGCGGAGCTTGGAGATTGCAATGAAGAACTAGAACAAGTAGAGAAATGCATGCTGCCAGAGTGTCGTAAGTATAGATATCTAGAGTCTGAAGATTAATTTTACAGTTGGTTTTATTTCTTCTATTGCACACAACAGTCAAGCAGAAATGTATTACGTACATTACTCTATCTATACAATAGCCGAGTGTTGACATGCATGATGCATTGCTTTGTTAGTGTAAAGCACCATTTGCTCACGAGAAACAAATTCCTAACATTTTCTCAGGGAGTTAGTACATATAAAGGGGGCGGGGGGGGGACTTCTATTTTAAGAAAGTGTTCAAAAGGGCCTTGCCATTGCTAAAATGAGTTATGCTATATTAACATAACTTTGTTATAGAGACATTCTTTCTTACCTTCAATGAAGTTTATATAGAAAACATTCAGGAACGTGATAAAAACATCCATTTTAAAGTAGCAATGCAAAATGATTAGATTGGTGCCCTTCCAGATTGCAAAAGTCAGATGAATAATTGAACGTATTTCACACATATTTTCACAGTCATTTTTATAAAGAGCGCCATCCGTCAATCATTGGACTCAAGATTTGCCCCCCACTCACCCATCTCTAGTCCTTCTCCTCTCCAATCTCCTGCAATTTTTCCCTCCATGTCCTTCCTATAAATTTGCTCCAGAGTTAATTTCTGGTGGGTGATAATTTCTAATAGGGTGGTGTGAATGTATTGTTGTCAGAGCTTAGCGAGAAGGTAGTCTTGCTAATGCATTTTCAGGATAAGCTTGTATAAAATTCATTCCATTGTCATCATCAACCTAAATGTTCATTTTTTCCCATAGTGAGATTGAAAAGAAGTAAATTATTCTTCTGCTAAACCAGATTGTTCCACCTAAGTAAGTTAAGGCTAAGCATCCTATTTTTCGTCCTTGCTTCTCTAGCAATTGACTGTGATCTGACAGAATGGTCTCAGTGGTCTGAATGCAATAAGTCTTGTGGGAAAGGCCATATGATCAGGACAAGAATGATCAAAATGGAACCTCAGTTCGGAGGAGCTCCATGCCCAGAAACTGTACAGCGTAAAAAATGCCGAATAAGAAAATGCTTGAGAAACCCCAATAGTGAGAAAAGGCGCTGGAAAGAATCTCGGGAGAAAAGGAGGAGTGAACAAGCGAAAGAAGATGTAGATGGTGGGCAATTCCCAGGTAAGTGTAGTAAAACTCACAGAGCAATCCTTAAATTAAGAAAGCGAGCAGTGCAACAGAGAAGTACATTACTAATTTATATTCTTGTTAGTACAGCTTCTTTCAATGATCCTTAACTAGTTCCCAGAAATTTGAATGCTTTCAAATGCTTGGGTTTAGATCACTGAATAACTATAAATAACAAAATCAAGGAAACCCTTTCTTCCATCCTTCCGGCCTTCCTTCTGTCCTTCCTTCCCAGGAGTCAAGACTGACTCAAAGGTAGAAGGGAAGGAAAGAGGAAAGGAAAAGAAAGGAAAGGAAAGGAAAGGAAAGGAAAGGAAAGGAAAGATCCTTAGGTGGGCTGCTGTTAAGTTCCAAAATAATCCATTCACATGATCCAGTATGAGACTATTAGATACTTATCACAAACAGACCTATGAGCCACATATGGAAATGATCATTCAGACCAATTAGGACTTTCAGCAAGTACAAACATCAGCATGGTATAACTCTGGATAATCTGTAGGATCTCATGGTTTATAGATCTTATCTTTCCATTTTCAAAACAGGAGTAGCAATAGAACCGCCACTTGTGAAAAAAGAAAGAAATGTCAAGGGATTCAAGCACTAACATGATTCTTATGTTGCTTGTCTGTTATTTTTATTTTAGGTTGTAAAATGAAGCCGTGGACTGCTTGGTCAGAATGCACCAAACTGTGTGGGGGTGGAATCCAGGAGAGGTTTATGACCGTCAAGAAGCGTTTCAAAAGTAGTCAGTTCACTAGCTGCAAAGACAAGAAGGAATTAAGAGCCTGCAATGTTCATCCCTGTTAGCAAACTGAAGTCTTTTGGATAATGCACTCCTGAGCTAAATGTAAAAAAAAAAAATCAACCTCGGTTAGATTTTTTTTTTTTAAAAAAAAAGAGAAAATATATAAATTGTGTATATTAGTCTTCATTTTTTGCAGTGTGGTTTGCTTAATTAGTCTTGCTGGTGCAAGAGATCTATTTTATAAATACTTCCTTACAAAGAACTGCTGAGAGTAGCTCCTTGATGCTCCAGCTAGCCCTTAATGCATAAAACTAGTGAAGTCATTGTGAAATCTTATAACACTGAAATTATAGACATATCTGTGTGGACAAATCATAACCATAGAAATAGTCCCTGTAAATACTTGGGATGCATGCAAAAATGATACTGCAAACTTAAATATTTGGAAACCATTTTCAAAATATTGAAAGCAGTGCCTCTGTGTTTATACAGCTGTGCCAAGGAATTACTTCAATAATACTACAGGTGCATATTGATCTTTAACCATCAGCAATGTAAAAAAAATGGTATTTATAGCAATCCTTTGACAATATCTCTTTTCTTCTTCATGAAATTGCTTAGACCCCTATTAAATAAATCACCTTGCGATTGTTTCCATTAAGAAAGCAAAGCAAACATAAGCTGCCCAGATGTGAAGAGTAGGGGGGAACAATTTTCTATCTGTAAGCCATATGTTGATTAGCCAGTAAGCTGCATTTAAAAATATCTTCCATATTCTCTCACAGTCGTATGCTAGGTCAAGGACTGGCAACCTTAAACACTCGAAGAGCCACAAAGGTCCTAACCGGAAGACTCTTCTTCAATTCTGGAGCTGACTGGAAGTCCAGTTCCCTCACCATAGAGTATCCTCCTAGTGCAGCCTCCTTTTTCCTTTTACTGACTGGCAACAGGGAGCTGCAGCAGAGTGATGAAAGAGCCACATGTGGCTCCAGAGCCACAGGTTGCCGACCCCTGTGCTAGGTGATAAGGTACTGTAAAATATCCTCCTTTTACAGGTTCTCCCTGCACACAACATAGCTAGGAAAATACATTTCAGAAGCTTGAGGGGAAATTGTGGACTTTTACAGAGTTAACCAGCATAAATAATATAAATACTCACAAAAGATGTGAATCTACCCAGTTCTAGAATAGCTGATCTTATTCTGTCCACCAAGTCCAGGAAGAACTAAGGAACGTTTTAGTTTTGTTTGCCTCAGAATTTACTTTTTCTTCTTTGTCACACAACAACTTAATTTGGCTTTATTCCTCTCACATAAATGTCACTGCATTCATCATCTTTTTGCTTTATTTTTCTACTCTGTAACTCCGTGGTCATAGTGAACAAAGCATGTGCAGGAAATAGCTGCTTTGTGGGAACATGGTGTTACTAATTTCCAAGCATGCACACCCCTACTCACAAAGAGCAAAGGAAAAAGCATAGCTATTTGAAAAATGTCATGAAGTTGAAGGATTAGATAAATGCCAGTACCACTGACAGGTTCCTTAGGGACATCTTAGGAATGAAGATGAAAGCTTCTATATTTGTATTATAAAATATTATTACAGGCTTATAGCTTGAACTTTTAGATTTCAGCTTCCATAATCCCTAGTCAACACAGAGATGGTTGAAAAGACCACCATCAAAAAAATCATATTGTCTGTCTGCAATTTAACACGTAACTATGTGACATGTCTTTGCAAATGAAAAACAAGATGATTTAAAATTAATAAATGCCAAATGCCAGTACGAATTAGATTCCAAAACAGAAAATTTTAACTTAAAAGCATGAAGCCTGCTTATGTCAAGCAGGAATTGGGTCAATATGTTTACAGAATTAACTGGCTTGGCCTTTTTAGATAGCATAAATCCTTAGCCTCTTAGAGGCACAAGGGTAGCCGTAGGGAAAGGTTTTTAGTTTCCAAAGATTGGCAGTATTCTTTTCCCCAAAAGATTTATATACAGGTACATATAATTTCATTTACCACTTCCATATGACCAATCTTCTTTTTTATGAAGTTTCCAAAGTTTCCCCATCTAAATCTAGATAAGGCTATGGCTCAACTAGCTTGCTAGAAATGTACCCTCATAAATTATATTACAATTATTGTACTTTTTTCATTCTGAACAGCCAGCCATTTTTAATGTTAACTCACCCCAAAACACTGGAGTCCAAGGCACAGAGCGAACACAGGAGTTATATAGGTCCAGGATATGGGCAAGTATAGAGCAGAAACATCTCAAAACAGCAAACATTTTCCAAGTTGCTATCAGTGTTGGGATCCCCGGTCTTCAGATATCAAAGGTTCTGTTGTTTTATGATGATAAATTAGTTATCCATCCAATCAAAATATGCATGAAATGTGTATACTCCTGATGAATTTAACTGCAATAAACAGTTCCTTTTATGCTGTGATGTATTAAATTTTGGTGACTGTCTTAGAAGAGTGTTGGCTCTGGTGAACTAAGTGCAAACATGCCTAATTTCAGAGGAATTCCAAATTGGTATTTCACTGGGGGCAATATTTGACTGATAGAATATGGTTGCACAGTTGCCTTTAATTTCTTTAATGTCTAATAGTATTAGGAATGGTTGGCTAACTTTTCAAAGGATTGCTATCAGAAAGCATGACAAAGCTTGCAGATGAATATAATTGCCATCTTATATCAGTAGTTGTCCCAGTTCATACTGAAAAAAAAAAAAAGAAAATATTCTAATTTGTTTCAAAGTGGTTTTTGTCTTGAAGCTTGTGACATTTCACAGAATAATATATAAAAGCTATCAGAAGGAAATGAAGGAGGGGGGAAACAGAAGAAATCTAATCCAATTAAAGTTATTCCATTCTTTTAATTATGGACTTTAATTAAGATTACCTTGTACCACTGAATTTAGAGGAATTTAATTATATCTAATGTATTGAAACCCTTAAGATTTCTTTGTTAAGAAATGAACCCATTGTGATATGGAATGCATATTTCTGAATTGCTACAAACCTTGTAGTATAATGTTGGTTCCAACAACATTATGGAGGGTTTTTGATTTTTTTACAATAATTCATGTCTCTTGCACACTTGAGAACCAAAACACAGGTATACAGTAGCTATAAGAATTTTATACACCTCACTGACCATTTATTAACATTGGTATATCTTCTTGTTCCTCTTTGTTGTTGTTGTTTTTTAAAAAATAATCTGTAGAAACTTTACAAGCAATGAACAGAAATGCTGGGGCGGGGGGGGGATTATATGTACAATAGGTTTTAATAAAAGCTATTTGGTTTTTTTAAAAAAAAAATCAGAATAGACCCTCTTTGATTTTAAGTTTTCTTGTTATTTTGGGTTCGCAATGAAATTTTTGAGAAAACTGTTATGGATATATTTCCTACCAAAGTCTTGTGTAGATGTTTTGTATGTAGTTGTCTGGCTAACACATTATTATTTTGGAATAAAGACATCTTTACTATGAAAACAAAAACATGCATGTACTTTAGTTTAATAGTACAGCATCAGATTAGAAGGGACTGCCAAAACTCTCTCAAAATACATGTCTTCCGGTCTCAGCCAACTCTTCCTGAAATATGTTAGCACAGTACAACATTGTGATATGACTCTTAAATAGGATCTTGACAAATTTGAACATTGGGTGCTTTCTAACGAAATGAAATTCAATGCTGGAAAAGTAAGGTTCTATATTTAGGCAAGAAAAACAAAATGCACATGTACAATATAGGTGGCACCTGGCTCAATAGTAGCAACTGTGACAGGAGTCCTTGTAGACAATCATTTAATGTGAGCTAGCAGTGTGCTGCAGCTGCCAAAAAAGCCAACGCAGTTCTAGGCTGCATAAACAGAGGGATAGAATCAAGATCACATGAAGTGTTAATACCACTTTATAATGCCTTGGTAAGGCCACACTTGGAATACTGCATCCAGTTTTACACCAGAATGTAAAAAAGATGTTGAGATTCTAGAAAGAGTGCAGACAAAAATGATTAGGGAACTGGAGGCTAAAACATACAAAAAATGGTTGCAGAAACTGGGTATGTCTAGTCTAATGAAAAGAAAGACTAGGAGGTGGGGGTGACATGATAGCAGTGTTCTGATATCTCAGGGAGAACAGGGAGTCAAGCTATTCTCCAAAGCATTTGACAGCATGACAAGAAGCAATGGATGGAAACTTATCAAGGAGAGAAGCAACTTAGAACTAAGGAGAAATTTCCTGACAGTTAGAACAATTAATCAGTAGAAAAACTTGCCTTCAGAGGTTGTAAATGCTTCACCCCTGGAAGTTTTTTTTTTAAAACAAACATAAACAAACAAAACATAAAAACATCAAGCCATCTTCCATATATATACATACAGTGTGCCGGTTGGTTTACAAATTGTTTTGTGCTTCCATTTCATAGTCTTCAATTACAATTACATTGTATATAATCTCGTATTTTCAATCAAATATTAAATACATTAATATCATTATTAATCAATCATTTGACTATACTTTTATTCATGTTTTATGAAATAATCCATATTTTACTTAATTTGTTATATGACAGTTCATATTATCCCAAATCTATCCTAGAATCATTTTGTAGATATAATAAGAAAAGAATGCATCTTTATATATTTATTATTTTATAAAAGTCTATATATTTCATTATTATATTTTATTGTCTAACCATTGATAGAATAGATCCCAAATTTTATAAAATTGTTTATCATCTTGTTCTCTAATCTACTCATTTCAGCACATTCCAATATTTTCTTAATGATTTCCTCCTGTGATGGTATTTTCTCATTTTTCCAGTTTTTAGCAAATACAATCCTAGCCGCTGTTAATACATTTACAATCAGGTATTTCAAGTCTTTACTATATATTTCAGGTAAAATTCCCAATAAAAATATCTCGGGTTTCAAATCCATATGGTTTTTTGTCATTTTTTCCAACCACGAGTGGATTTTAGTCCAGTATTTTTTAGCATCCGCACAAGTCCACCACATATGGTAATATGAGCCAGGTGTCTGATGACATTTCCAACATTTTTCGGATTTATTCTTGAACATTCTTGCTATTCTTGTCGGGGGGAAATGCCACCTGTACAAAATGCCACCTGTACACCTTATACAAATTTTCTTTATATGCTGTTGACATTGTCATTTTATAATTTTGAGACCACAATTTTTGCCATTTCTCTAAATCAATCCCATATCCAAAATTCTTCCCCCAAGCAATCATAGTTTCTTTAACTTGTTCTTCTTCTAGTTTAATTTCTAATAAATATCCATACAATTTTTTAAACACCTTTTCATCAGTACCTGTCAAAATCTTATCTAAATCAGTCAATTTATCATAGAAACCTTCTGTTTTAAAGTCTTTATCATACCTTGAATGTATTTGCGCATATGAAAACCAATTCATCTTTATACCTTGTTCCTCTAGTTTTTGTATAGATTTAAGTTCACCCTTTTCATTCAATATTTCACCATATCTAACTGTTTGTTCCTTTTTGTATATTATAGGATAAGAAAATGCTTCAATAGTTGATAGCCAGACTGGAATTTTCAAATAACATTGTCTTTTAATCTTCTCCCAGTTTAACCACAGAGACTCCCATATATAATGTCTTCTAAAATACCCCTGTGTTTATACCATAAAAAAGCATGCCACCCCAACAACAGATCATGTCCTTCTAATGTCAACAATCTAGTATTTCTTAATGTTATCCGTTCCTTAACCCACATCAAATTTGTAACTTGGTAATACAACTCCCAATTAGGCAATCAAATCCTCCTCTTATTCTAGCATCTTGCAAAAGTTTTAACTTTATTCTCGCTTTCTTACCTTGCCATATATATTTCAATACAATTTTATTTAAATCTTCAAAGTAGTCTTTTCCAAGCCTGTTTGAAACAAATATAAAATTCTGGGTAATATATTAATCTTGATTGTTGATATTCTCCCTATTAATGACACTTGTAAATTTCCCATTTCGCCAAATCTAGCGCTATCTGCTGTTTAAGTTTGATATAA